TACTAAAGGTATTTTGGATTATGATCATTCAGATGTATGGGGGCCTTCCAAGACAACTTCATTGGGAAGAACACACTATTATGTCACCTTTGTTGATGATTTTTTTCGGAGAGTTTGGGTGTATACAATAAAGACAAAGGATGAGGTGCTAGAATTTTTCCTTAAATGGAAAAAGATGGTGGAGACTCAAACAGGCAGAAAAATCAAACGTCTCCGTACAGACAATGGTGGAGAGTACAAAAATGATCAATTTCTGAAAGTCTGTGAAGAAGAAGGTATTGTCAGGCATTTCACTATCAGATCTACACCACAACAGAATGGGGTGACAGAGCGTATGAACCGGACATTAGTGGAGAAGGTTCGGTGTATGTTGTCTAATGCTGGGTTAGGCAAAGAATTTTGGGCTGAGGCTTTAGTCTATGCTTGTCACCTTGTCAACCGCTTACCATCGACTGCTATTGGTGGTAAAACACCATTAGAAAAATGGTTTGGAGAACCTGCTACAGATTATGATTCCTTAAATGTGTTTGGTTCCACTGCATACTACCATGTTAAGGAGTCAAAGATGGATCCAAGAGCAAAGAAGGCTATCTTTATGGGGATCACCTCTGGTGTGAAAGGCTATCGTCTTTGGTGTCCAGAAACAAAGAAAATAATCTTCAACAGGGATGTTACCTTTGATGAATCTACCATGTTGAGAAAGGTGACTTTAGAAAAATTGGAGCAGACAGATGGAACTCCCAAACAGGTGGAGTTTGAAGGAAGCAGAATTGTCCCAGTCATTAAAGAAACTGATGTTGACTCTCCTATGGTAGAAGAAGAGTCAAATGAAGAAGAGGTTCAGACCCAAGAACCTCCACAGTAACATGAATCAATTGCACTCAGAAAGGGAAAGAGGACCATTAGATAACCTGCTCGTTATGCTGATATGGTCTCTTTTGCATCACCAATTGCAATTGATGACGTTCCTGCCACTTTTAATGAAGCAGTCCAAAGTTCAGAACATAAAAAGTGGAGGATCGCCATGAATGAAGAAATGCAATCCCTTCAAAAGAATCAGACGTGGAAACTAGCTAGTCTTCCGAAGGGAAAGAATGCAATTGGGTGCAAGTGGGTATATGCAAAGAAAGATGGATTTCCTAACAAAAATAACATCCGTTACAAAGCAAGATTGGTGGCTAAAGGCTACGCTCAAATGGAGGGAGTTGATTATAATAAAGTATTTTCTCCAGTTGTAAAACATTCCTCTATCAGAATTTTGTTGGCTTTGGTAGCACAGTTAGATTTGGAACTAGTTCAGATGGATGTAAAAACTGCATATTTACATGGAGACTTGGATGAGGAAATCTACATGACTCAGCCATATGGATTCAAAGTTGCTGAAAAAGAAGAGATGGTGTGCAAATTAGAAAAATCTCTATACGGATTGAAGTAATCTCCAAGGCAGTGGTACAAGTGATTTGACAAGTTTATGATAGGGCAGAAGTACACAAGAAGCAATTATGATCATTGTGTGTATTTACGCAAGCTACAAGACGGATCCTATATATATCTTCTTCTTTATGTTGATGATATGCTGATAGCTTCCAGGAGTCAGATAGAAATTGCGAAACTAAAGACTTAATTGAATAGGGAGTTTGAGATGAAGGATCTTGGTGAAGCAAAGAAGATTCTAGGCATGGAGATATCAAGGGATAAGAAATTAGGGAGGCTTTGTTTGTCTCAGAAAGAATATCTGAGGAAGGTACTAAAACGTTTTGGCATGAATGATAAGTCAAAACCAGTTAGTACACCTCTTGCTCCTCATTTCAAGCTCGGTGCATCCATGTCACCTAAGGATGATGCAGAACGGGAATACATGTCAAAGGTTCCATATGCATGTGTTGTTGGTAGCTTAATGTATGCAATGGTGTGTAAGAGACCCGATATTTCACAGGCAGTTGGGGTTGTGAACAGGTATATGCATGATCCTGAAAAGAAGCATTGGGAAGCTGTGAAATGGATTTTGCGGTATATTCTGAACACCGTAGATGTTGGTTTGGTATTTCAGCAGAACAAACATGATGGTCAGTGTGTAGTTGGGTATTGTGATTCAGACTATGCAGGTGATTTGGACAAGCGTCGATCAACTACTGGTTATGTGTTTACATTTGCAAAAGCACCAGTCAGTTGGAAGTCCACCTTATAGTCAACAGTGACTTTGTCTACTATAGAGACAGAGTATATGGCAGTTACAGAGGATGTGAAGGAGGCAATTTGGCTTCAAGGGCTGTTTGGTGAATTGGGAATGGAACAAAAGCACATCAAAGTGCACTGTGACAGTCATAGTGTTATTCATTTAGCAAAGAACCAAGTTTACCATGCAAGGACGAAGCACATCGATGTTCGATATCACTTTGTACGAGAGATTCTAGAAGAAGGTGGAGTCCTAATCCAGAAGATTCGGACCACTGAGAATCCTGCTGATATGTTGACAAAAGTGGTAACTGCGGTCAAGTTTAAACATTGTTTAGACTTGCTCAATATTGTTATAAATTGAAAGATGAATTTGCAGACATTACTGAAGATTGGATTTTTTTGAGAGACTTGTGTGGAATTTGCCAAGGTGGAGATTTGTTGGTTTTTGGCAAATATCCCACATTGGTTTTGTATAAGGAGGAGGGAAAATTCTTTTGTTATAAATAGAACCCTCCTCCTCCTTAGTTTAGCATCCCACAAATATAAGCCTTCTTTAATATTAAAGGCTATTTGTACTCTTTCTCTCTTTGTAATATTTCCTCTACTAGTGAAATATTATTTTAGTAGTGTTCGAGGAGGTAGGCATAATTTTGGCCTAACCTCGTTAAATCTTGGTGTTCTCTTTATGTCTATTTAATAGCTATTGTTAATTATTGTCCTATTAAAATTACTTGTCTTGGTAGTTCTGTCTAAGGAAAGTGGGTTTTAAGAGGGACCATTGTGACCCATCCTCTTTCCTTGGAATCTACATTGGGGTGATTTTTAGTACAATCGTTTTCACACTAGTCACCTAGATAATAGCTTTTAAGGTGAATTTTTTATTATTGGTAGAAATTAACCCGAATTCCACAACATCTTGCTCATAAATTAGTTTTGTTGTAAACTTCAAAGACAACTATTTTTTTCGAAAAAAAATGGAAATACTTTTGCTAGTAAATTGTTAATACATATTTTAATAGTCGATACGATTATAATGTATTATTTTTTTCAGAATTTTCATAATCAATTGAGGATACATTTATACTTTATTGTAGCTGTTCGAATCTAAAACCTCTATAAATAATAACATTATCTTTTACAATTAAAATCACTTGATGAATTACGGATAATCAACAAATTTAATTATTTCATTATTAAATAATTGATAAACTTATGTGATAATTTTATGACAATTTTAATATCATATAACGATAATTAATATATCTAATCGGTCTATTGATAACGATTTTGTAATGTTGGTGATTGATGAATAACGATTACTATTAGAATATATAGGAAAATTTTCTTTGTATTGTACGAGAGGACATCAAAAAGTTCCTTTCTCATTTTCTCTGGAGAAGAGGAACTTGAATCTGGGTCTTTACTTTCGATCATCGCCTTCGATTAATGACTCTCCTTCTAGATCATAATAAGAGGTGAGTCACTAACGATCGACATCCATATATCCTTCTTTAATAACTTATAATCTAAGTTAAAAAAAATGAATGCAATTAAACATCATTAACATTCAACCCACTTATTATATATCAATAAATCTACAACTCTAATTAATTAAAACTCTAATTAATAAGTTTGGTTTTCGATAAAATACTCATCTAATTATAATTTTTCTTTTTGTGGAGCATGAGAAATAATTGGTAGATTCATATTCTACAATCATCTACTAAAACCAAAACCAAATATTCTAATATGAATAAATTGCACAATTTAACTCAAATCAGTTAACAAAAACTATCAAAATTATAGTACAACTAAAGTTTTTTTTTTAAATCTGTGTATTTATGTTATTTTTACATAATACATTCATATATTTATATTATTAGTCTCGTGTTACATTTATTATTGTTAGATTATAAGAAGAGATCATTATTATAATATCGCCGTCGAAAAGAAATTCTGGTGTTTTGGGCAGCAAATGCATGTTATATTGAAGATTTTGTTGATCCGTGACCAGACATGCCATGGCAATATTTGGACATTAGATGTGAAAAATGTCTAGCCTCTGTTTGCAATTATAAACCAAATATTATATATCCACATATATATAGATATTTATTATTTTTTCGTTCACAATTATTAACTTACACTGTTTAAGTGTTCAACACTTCAACTTGTAAGAAAAACAACCAAGCAAGTGGATATCTTAAAATTTAAGGATGGACAAGCAAGAATTAATAACATAATTTTGTTGTTGTTGAAATATATACAAATAAAAGTTTAAATTGAAATAATCAATAAAATAAATAATTAATAAAAACTAAAATTTCAAAGTATATATTCACTCTGAATGTAGGATGGATCCGTCACTCCTTGTTTGGATCATATTTGTACAATAAAATAAAATAAGGTGACTATTAACCATTTATTTAAGTTTTAAATTATAAATGATCAAAAGATTCCACCTCGAATATAACCCAAAAATCCACAACTTGTCACGTCGACCACAGAGCATCAGAACCAACCTACCCATGCCTATTTATTGTAAATTTCGTATAATGATATTTATATTTAAATATATAAATTTAATTACTATTTAAATTTTGATGTTTTATTTTATATTATTTTTTTCAGTATTCTGTTTGATCTAGAAGTCAGTAGGTGAAATGAAAATTACCCTGGAAGAATTATCAAATATGAAAACAGTAAAATAACTGCAATAACAGAAAAACTGTACAAATTAACAGGAAAGGGACTTTATAAGGCTGAATTTATATTACAGAAGACTTTTACTACAAAATAAAAATTAATGGTTCTTTGTTTTCCTTCTAGCTAGAACACAGTAAACAGGTGTAGGGTCTAGAAATTTCTGCATGAAAGTGACATAGTGAGAGGGGAGAGTCAAAATAGACGGCAACAATGGATCTACAGAAAGATATGGTCGTGTCCTTTATGTTCTTTTTCCTCCATTGAATGTTGCCTTGTAAAGCTGCCCTTTATTCATCTTCAGATGCTGCTTTTAATTCATGCAGAAAACCCAGAATGGATGTAAATTTACATGGAATTCTTTAATATTTTATCGCATTAGAAAAAGACAGGACATGAGGGCTTTTCTACCAGATGTTTGTAGGGCACCTCCGTCTCTCTCTTTCTGCATTAATATTAATGGAAATAACATAAGTTGTCGTTGAGCTCAGACGAGTTGAAAATCTTTTGTCTTTGGTCCTCCATATCCCACAATAAACTACCATTATCCTGAAAAAGATGTCTTGTCAAATAGTTTACCATTATATATATATATATATATATATATATATTATGTGTAAATACCTGAGGGTGAGAGAATACATTGGGCCTGTGCCCATGTTGAAGAAACAGTGTAGCGGAAACATTCAGAAGAGGATAGTTATGAGATGGGACAATGGTGGTCTGAGATGGCGCCATTGCAAGTGGTAGGGATGTTTCTGTGCTGTTAACTCCCTAGAAAGAAGAAACATTAATGTCAGAGAGACAAAGATTTCGTCAGCTTCTATAATGAAAAACAATGGCTTTAATAATTGCTCAAAAAATAGACATGTTTTCTTACTTCTGGTCTGATCATCAATGTTTCCCGGTCCACTCCAAAGTCATAGAACATGGGATTGAAAGAGGCAAGCTTCATTGACAGAAACTAAACGAAGGATAAGAAAACAGATTATTTATTGCTTGTTTGATCATACATAAGATTATCTGCTGAATTAACTTTGTTAATCGTTACCTCAACTTGATTTTGTAGGGACCGAACATAATTGATGATTTCATCCAACATAAGTGCCTTTCCAGTCACCTTATCACACCCTGGAACAAGACGCTGTAATATCTTCATCCTTTCACTGATTTTCTCTCTTCTTACCTGTGAATTATCAAACAGATTTCTTGTGGTTATTTGATTGGCCCCATGGTTCGGCTTAGGCCCCTAGAAAGTGAGTTGGCTCGAATTATTTACCCTTTCTGCTAGGCTGTGGCTGTCGGTCGCTTGACCCCTCCTGGCTCGTACATGAATGTAGCCTGTCGGAGCCTCTTTTTCAACAGCTTTGGACACTTTTTTTTCGTTTTTCAACGCATTATTGCACTTCTTTTGCTTCTTGGTTTTCCCTTCTTTTGCACCCTAACGTGGAAATTTTTATGGATTATTCGAAAAAAGAACAGTTGAAAGTTGAAACATCGAATATGGATTATATGGAAACATCTTTTCTTTTTTACCTTAAATGGTGCAGAATTCAAGGTTGTCCCATTTCTTGTCCTTTTCTTCTGAATGACTTGCTCGCCACTTTCGAGTTTATCCACAACAGTAGAGTGGTCGTCCGTGCTCTGTTTTTTAGTCGTCACGGTCGAAAGCTCATTATCGCTATGAACAACGGAGCTGCTTTCGTGGAACACAGGACCAACGGGGGACGACGAGTCCTGGTAAAATTGAGAGAAACAATGGGGATTGAGGTTTGCTTCGAGGTCCATGAAACCAGACACTTTGGTGGGTGTGTTTGGTAAGAAAATGGAGTCTAGTAGAAAAGGGTTAGATGGAAATATAAAGGTCGCCATGTTAAAGAATCGATTCTGGAATTGAAGAAGTGAAACAAGAAATTGTTTAGTTTTTTTTTCCCTTGGTGATGGAGAGATGGTGAAGGGCAGTGGAAGAAATTAGCAGTGGGTGCATAACTAAGATGCCCATCTCTAAGGCTTTATATAAACATCAGGATCGGATGGGTAACTCTTTCCCGTGCAAACTTTCTGTATATTTGACTCTTATCTTATCTCTCAAGTCTCTAATGCGACCCGATACATATATATATTTTATTAGATAAAATAAGAATTTAATTAAAAAATTAATTATAAATATCTTTAAATATAAAAAAGATTGAAGATAATTATAATATTATATTGTATCGAATTGAGAAAAAAAATCAAATTCTGATCCCTACGCTCTACCCATTTTGTGTCCAAAGACGATTCACGATATTAACTTAATAGAAAAAGTAGAATTTACTTAAGAAACGGGGTACAATTCATAATTATTTCATAAAATTTCAGTTTGTTATATAAACCAAAAAGTAAAATAAGCGATTGAGGCGGGATTGGGGGGCTGCCGGGCTAGAATAGTAGATCCCCTCCCACAAATAAAGTGAACCCCCCCCTTTTTGTCCGTATCCATTTAGAATTAAATTAATTATTTAATTTAAAAAAAATTGTATAATTTAGTTAAATCACCCAAAATCAAAAAACATATTCGGGGTTTTAAAATCAAAATTATAATCCCACTTCAAAGCCATCTCCATAACACCTTAGGTCCCTAAAATCCATGGTTATATTAACATAGAAACTACTCTGAAACTATAAAATAATTGAGAAAGATTTAGTATTTTCTTAATGATATAATATCAAAATTAACTCTCAACATTTATTAAAACGGTCATTTTGGATTTTATTGTTTTTGAAGTATTTTGATTTCCAATTTTTCTTTTTGAAGAAAGAAATACCTTTCTATAGATAAAAATCATTAGTTAACAAACGTTTAACACATTAAAATAAGAGTTTTTTAATCTTAAAATGAGACGTCGAAGAAGGTTACAATGCTTTAGAAAAAAATAATAAGAACATAAGTGATTTTTTGATCTAATATTAGAATCTTTTTTATCATAAAATAAAATATTAATATAAAATATTCTAAAAATAGAGATTAAAATAACAATCTTAGATAAAAATAGACACTAATTTTTATGTTATGCCATTTTTTAGTTACTATATTTAGTGGAATATATGAAGTTGAAGATGTCAGTGATTCAGGCATACATATACGCTTCTGGTACATAACGATGTCCATGGCAGTGAGTGAGAAGTTAAATATTAATTTATAGTGTTTGAGAAATGAATCAACAACAGAAAATGAGTGGTTTGGATTACTTCTTTATCCACCCATTGGGTGTAGGAAAAACAGTATCAGTAAAGGCATTTTGTGAGTTAAGAGCAGCTGCTGATAGGGCATGGCATACACTTTCAGAGAACAGCCCACTCATTGTCTGTGCAAAATTTAAAGCACAGATTTGGATGGGGTTTTCACGATCTAATCAAATGATGTTATTCTAAGGAATGACCCTTCACCCTGACCCTGACCCAGATCGCTTTTCATTAGTGTATATGGAGCCCAAATTCAATCATCACGGCTAAGGCCATGCAGCCCATCCATGGATGGATCTAAAGGGGCAAACGAAGGGGATCATCCCCTAATTTTTTAATTTTATATATTTTAAATCTTTTTTAAAATATGTTTTCATCTCTCTAAATTTTTATAAGTTTATTTTCCTTTTTAAATTTTATAAACTCACTCATTCTAACATAAAATCTCATATTTGTCCTTGAGTCCATCCTTCACCCTAAATCCAAGTATGAGTTAAAGGTCGAATTAATAATCAAATTTGTACGTTAAATTTTTATACATTATAGATTTAAAGTGGAGGAAGATACATATATATTTTAAGATATTTATTATGTAGAACTTAATTTGTGGTGTCAATGGTTAAAGGGAATATTGCTCTTCTTTGAGATCCTGAACTCAAGCAATTATATTTGTAGAGTGTGTGTTGTCAATGATTAAAGAAATATTACGAACATATACGATTTTATAATCATCTCAGACTATTTAAAAAAAAAGATAACATCAATTATGAATTAATCCTAGTGGGATAAAAAGTTAAGTTTTTAAATAACTTTTATAGTTAAGATCTTAATATAATAAATAAAATAAAATAAATTAGAAAGGTGATTTACAATGAATTTTTATAACACTCAATAAGATAATGTATAGTTATGAAAAAATGATCTAACATCCTAGACTCATTTTGAGTTATCTAAAGATAAAAAGGCTGGCTTAACTGCCTCATATTTTTCGATAAGAAAATCCCTTCTTAATAATAAAAAAGGGAAAATTCCTGGGAAACAAACAAGAGACGTTCCTTCAATGATCTGGGACGCCGTTTCTCAAGCAATTTTGTGTTATATATACGCATGCATACGTAGATTTGATGCCAGGCAATACACATGCATGATGCATGTATACATATACATATATTATTTACCTTTCAACCAAACAGACAAAGTTGCTTTAATGACTTCGGGACGTCTATAGCAAAGACATGTACAAAACCAAAACGAAAGAAAATATGCTTCTAATTTCTAAAAGAATTTCCCGGGAAACAAACAAAGTCGTTTTAATGACACGTTTATAGCAAACCCGAACAGGAAATGCTCGAAAGATTTCCCCAGGAAACAAACAAAGTTGCGTTAATGACTTTTGGACGTCAAAAAGGAAAATTACAAACAGCAGATGAAAGCGAAAGGCTGTGATTTGTACAAAGGTTTAAAATATTTTCACACTGTAATCTGCATCCAACACGCAGACAACAATGATTCTATCTTTTATTCATCAAAACGTGTTTTGCACACATAAACCTGAGATTTGGTAGGAAAGGAGAACAATATGAAACCCTAATCTTTCTGGGGGGAAAGTGAAAACACACATGTTCAAAGTGAGAACAATATGAAACCCTAATCTTTACCCATGGGATCAACATTTTTTTTCATTTGATCTCTTTACACTCTTCCCATGGGATAAAGGGTTTGGTAGGAAAGGACAATATTCAGTAATTTGTTCTTTTAGGCAACACCTACAAAAATAGGAAACTGCCGTTTGTTTGGTAGGAAAATAAAGGAAACACTGAGATATGGATTTTTGACGGAAAGGTCAGAAGTGAAATAAAAATAGGTCGACGTTTGCAATGTTTTTCTACGAAATTGCCTGCGAATGCATGCATACAAAAAGATTGTTAGAACAAAGGATTATTCAACCTCTTTTCAAATTCATCGCTGTCAAAGAAAAGCTCCCATTTTACATTATCACAAGTAGGTGTCCTTTCGTGATTTTCCCAGAAAAGTAGTATTCAGTCATTTTAAAACGTCCAGACATTCGTTCGTATATTCATTCTATATCTTGTGTCATAGTATTTCATATTATTTTTGGGTTAATTTTTATATTTGTGAATTAAATAGGGTAAAATACATTAGAGGTCATTGAACTATTTTCAAATGGTCATTTTAGTAATTGAAATTTTAAAATTTATAAAATAATTATTAACTTTATCAGATTATTGCAAATTAAAAAGTTATAATAATCATAAAAAATTGATAAATTTAATAACAATGAGATATAGTTCACTGCAGAAATACCTCAAAAACAGATCGTCGGCTTGAAAAGGAAAAGAATTTGGATCATTTATGGATTCCATGAGTTCGTTAGCCTTAGTCCAATTAGAGCATGGGCCTATGCCTTTTTATATTTGGCTTTATTCTGTTATTTGTTCAGTGATTCAATGAGATATTATTGTGTGTATTATCATTGGTCACAGTCATTGGCTTGTATCTAAATTTTAAACTCGAAATTTAATTTAATTGATTTATATAAATATCAACAAACGTTTAAAAATAATATCCAATAAATTTAGATTCGAAACTCTAAATATCATTAGAAAATGCCATATAGAATTCGAAACTAAATCAATTCCTATGCTTGGTGAAGCAAAGGTTTCAATCAATTTGGTTACAAAGCTTTAATCAGTGCCTACCAAAAATAAGAACAAGAACAAAATCCATACCCTCAAAATCGCCATTGGTGGACATCAACCTTATATTATTGCTCTCTCAATAAGGAGAATCACCCCCTTACAAAATTCACACATGAATTAACAAAAGTTGGCATTGTGTTCTACAGGAGCCAGTCTTTTTTCATTTCTCTGCAGGCGGAGGAGTGAGAGCGCCACCGCCAGTGGTTGGGCTGCAGGAAAAGGAACCATATTTAAGTCATTTGATTGTTTAGATGATAAACTAAATGAATGAAATTTTCTTGGAGAATAGGATTTAAAATGGTAAATCATAAAAACTTACAGCCCAACAAAGACTTTGAAAGCATCATAGATTCCCCATTGTGCTCCAGTAAGGGTTCCAATCATGACAATACGAAGAGGAAGTCCTCGGGTGAAAAGACCCCACAGTCCCATCTTCTTCACTGCCTGCAACGGATTAAAGAAAACCAAAGCAAAAGATCACGTTGATCATGTCAAAAATGAAATATATACACATGTATATTCATGGAATGAGACAATATAAGGTTTTTACATACATCACCGACTGTTGCTCCCTTAGCATTGTTGAGAAAAGAGACCAGATTATCAGCAGGGTGTGATACAATTGCACAGAAAACACCAGCAATGTATCCACCAGCAAAGCTAACCCCAAGTTGCAAAGGTTTACTGCACTTATCTTTCGGGGTGGGGATGGCATGCTTGTAGAGTAACTCAACGATTGTCTCAAAAGATGCAAATTTCATCATTGTATCTACACAAATATCATCTCATTTCATCACTGCAAAAGGTTCATAAAATGCATATAGGTAATAGGAAGAAGCAATAAATGCAGGACAATGTTTGGCTTACAAGGAATCTGTCGGCCCCAGAGAGGAACAATTCCTTTGAACAACCTACAGACATGTATAAGAACGCAATATCAGCAATTCATGCAAAACATGAATCCATTACTTAAAACCAGAAATTTATAAAACAGTTATGATTTACCCTCCAAAGCCTTCAGCCTGCAAGAATTTTGGTAATCCATCCGATAAGCCTCGGGCAAATCCAGGCTGAGTTTGCACACGAACTTTGACAGCCTCCATGGGGCAGAGAGCAACATCAGCAATGACTTCAGCCGATGCCGAACCGGCAAGATAAATCAGGGTCTTGTACTTTGAGGCATATTCAGGACCAGCGAGGTCGGAATAGTACTTCTTGAAGAATTCGTAGAAACCGAATTTGCAAGCACCCTGAGCACTGTAACCTAGCAGAGTGGGCACCCAACCCTTGGATAAACCTTTAACACCTTGCTCCCTCAGCAAAACTCCAAACCCAGATGAGATGCTCTTGTATTTTACTGGGTCAATCTGAGGTTTAAAATCCAATCACATTAGCATTCAAGTTTTCGTGTAAACAAATTATATAATGAAAACAATGAAGCTACTCATGATGATTGATGTAGGTGACGAAAGGTTGAAAGTAATTGAACGTTTGCACATTTCATTGGAAGCATCAAGGGGGGGGGGGGAATTCATTACACGTTGCATATGATAATTAATAATAAAAGATTAATTTTACAAATCACTAATAATTGAATTAATAAATTGAAAAACTTTTCTGTATGATCCTTTTGTCATAGTGTCCAATCCATTGATTTCAATTTCACTAGAGCAAATTTCACCAGGAGATGCTAAAATTCTAGAAGACAGTAAAAGCTTGATCAATGAATCGACTACTAAGTTTCAAATTCAAAGACTAAAGAGGGGAAAGCCAATCAAGGTTTTGAATTTTAATCTGCCATTTCTTTGGATCTTGAATCCCATCTTACAAAATGAATTACCGAAATAATCATGAAAAACAAAATGATCAGATGAAGGAAATAAAAATACCTGCATATTACACTTGACAAGATCGAGAGGCGTGACAGCGGTGTGAGTAAGGCCGCAGCTTAATATTCCACCCATTGTGCACGCTCCATAAAAGGCGGGAGAGTACATCTGGATCTTCTCCTTCGGAGCGGGTATCAAAATCCTACCCGAATTGACCCCTGCATCACAAGCCAAGTACTTGGTTGACGATGATGGCGAAACAGACGGTGATCGAGGCATCACATTATGGTGATTGGCGTTCATCGAAGACTTGTCGTAACCGGAGAGAGGTTTAGTTGAGGAGTAGAGGAAACTGGGAATGAGAGATTGGCTGAATTCATCGGAGATTGCCATTGCCGGTTGTTTTGATTTGTTTGGGATCTCAAAAATGAAGGAGAATGGAAGTGAGAGTTGGTTTTTGAGGGAGCTGAGGATACGAAGAAAATGGGAAATTTGTGGTGTTTTTTTGGAATGATAGGAAACCAAGAAAGAAATAATCAGTCGAAAATGCCTGCGTTTCTAAAGGACACTCCTTGCTTTGCTTCCCGCTTCACAACTCCTTCTTTAAATATTAATTGGATATTATTATAATATTGTTTTCATTTTTATATAATTTTTAAGATTTTGACCAAGTTATATGATATATCCCTTTAAGTTTTAAAATTTATTCTTTAAATATTGATCGAGATTCTATTTCAATAATGAGTTTTTAAATATTCTTTAAATAAAAAATTATTAAGAAAACTTTTTTAAAATACTATTTAAGTGCTCAAACTTTTTTAAAAAATTAATTAAACTTTATAAAGAAAGTTATTAAGTCATTTTATCACATCCTTATTCACATGTAAAATACCACATCAATATCTTAAATTGTTATATTAATATTGTGAACTGTCATATCAACATAATTAATTATTATATCAATATTATAATGATAACAATGATTTTCGTGTGTCAAAATACAATGCTGATACAATTTAAAAATTCAAATATAACATTGATACAATGAAAAACGATATATAATGTTCATGTTTTTTTTTTATCTAAACGAGGATAAAACTATCTCTTAACCTTAATTAAAATGTAGTTTAATATGCAAATTTAATTTATGAGAAAATTATAATCAAGGTTTTTATTTTAATATTGATGTAAAATTTTAGGTTAAAAAACTTATTTTATACATAAATCGGATAAATTAAATTTTAAAATAAAAATTTTATTTTTAATAAATTGTAAAATAATCTAGATATTTTTAAAATGGATAATTTAAATTATAAAATAAATTTTAAAATAACTTAGATATTTACACTTAAATCGGGTAAATTAAATTTCAAAACAAATTTTGTATTTTATATTTTAATTTTATAATTTCGATATATTTTCAATTTTATTAAAATAAAGGTTTTTATTTTAATATTGATCACGTTATTTAGTCTCAAAAATATATATTTAGGTTAAAAAAAACGCTTATTTTACGCGTACATCGGATAAATTTTAATGAAGATACGTGTCACGTGTTATAGGTAAAGGTTGTTACGTGAATCAGCGGCGAAGGACAAAATGATTACCCCCATTTTCACCGTTACCGTTACCCCGCAGCGAAAAACATTCTTCACCGCGAGAGAATTCTTCGCCATCGGCGCCGAAAAGTTGTTCCCCACGCGCGCCAACTCAGCTTTACACGTTGTCAACTGGGTCCCTGTTTTTCCCATTTCAAGTCCATCCCGCGAAAGTCGTAAAACGCCGTCGTCTTGCTCAATCATCTTCCTTCGCTTTTAATTTCAACTTTTTCCAAACCTCTTTTTTCTCTCTCAAACACCTGCGTCTCTCTCTGGAGAGGAGACCAACCGCCTCCCTTCCGATTATACCCCTAAATCTAGGTCAACTGAACTAAACGATATAAACAATTAACACTTTGAATTAAAAGTGAAGTGATGGATCGGAGGAGGACTGGGAGTCCGATGTACGGACGGCAGTGGAGCGGAGGATCGAACAGTTCGGGATCATCGTCTCCGGCGCATCCTCAGTCGCGGTCGCAGCTGGGTGCGAATAGTGGGTTCTCGACGATCAAACGAACACAAAACGTTGCCGCCAAAGCCGCCGCTCAACGACTTGCTCAAGTCATGGCTTCGCAGACCACGGATGAAGACGAGGAAGAAGACGATCTAGGGTTCCGTTTCGGCGGTCCTCCTGTAATTCCTAGCTTCTCCAATAACGGTTTAAATCACAGTACTTTGCCGGCGATCTCAATAGCTCGGCCTAATAGATCTCCCTCCCCGGCGGTAATAACTCTGAACTGAAGTGATTTAAAGAGGTTTTTCTTTGCCTTTTTTTGGACTTGAATTTTTTGATCTGATTTTGAGTTTTGTTTGCTTTGATTAGTTAGGTCGGAATTTTGTAGAGCATACTCCTTCGGTGCGGTCCACGTCAGCAGGGAGGCCGGCAGTGTCGATGCGGTCAACGACACCAAATTTGATGCCGCCAAGTAGAACTTCAGTTCGCACTCCAGTTAATATACCTCCGATTGATCCTCCTAACCGGAGCAGAGATAAAAGGTTCGCGTTCATGAATTTTTTTTATTGAGAATATACTATACATGTGTGCGTGTATGTATATATAAACCTATAGCTATAGGTGCTTAGTCAAACCTTAAAACTTCAAGGATGCACTTCATGAAAAATATCCTTGCATTTGATTAAGCCTATTTTAGTTCTGTTTACTTAAACTTTCTGATCTTGAAGTTGGTTTCACCTTACTTTTAGTTATTTGTACAAGTAGAATGGCGGCTTTTCTCATGGTGACATATTAAGTTGTATGGAGAGCAACAACAAGACAGATGAATCTTTTAATATATGGAAACTTGAAAATATGTTTAAGATTTCTAGTAACCAAGTTGGTAGTTAGCAAAAGATTAGTAGATATTGAGACTTTAAATTGGCTAACAGAGCCAACTGCTTACAATGTAGTACAGTTCATATTTCATGATATCGTTATTGTATTAATTCGAAGCAGCTTACGGCAATCTCACGTTGTTTTCTGGAACTATCAGTAGATCTTAGGATGTCATGCCATCATCTTTTTGTTTATGACTTATATACTTCAATCTTTTGGTAAAAATGTCTGAACCTCAACTCAAATTCAGTTGCTGTTATTTAGTTCCTCATTTCTCTCTTGGCGACTTCATTCTCCGTATGCATAATCATCCTCATCCTCATGCTCTTGTTTTTATTTTTGTTCTGTGGAGTTTTGTTAGGTTTAAATGCATGTTTTTGAAATTCTTTTAATTTGTGACACGAGAAAACTTTAAAAAAGTTAGCCTTTTGCAAAACAATATATTTTAAGCAGTGAAATTATGTTACTGCAAAGTTCTGCAGGTTTACAGCTGATGTAGGACAACTTAAAGCAAAAGACGCTGGACATCAGCATGAAGCTTCTGCACTTCGTGATGAAGTAAGTAAGTGGTATTTTTGTATTTATTTCTTGACATCTGAATCATACTGCTCTTAAATTTATTTATCTTATATAGATTCTATATCTATGCAATTTAAAATGCAATCTATCCTGTGACTGTAAGCCGATCTTTTTTTATATATTTCGTTTGAACTTTAAATTTTATTCTTGAAGCAGTTGATTTGAAGCTAATATATGCTATGTTGCAGCTTGATATGCTACAAGAAGAGAATGAAAACCTACTTGACAAGGTGCACTATAAGAGCCAAAAGACTTAAAATTTGATTATTAGGCTTCTGTTATCTTTTACATCACTGACATGTAGCATTTATGCCTATGTATGCTTTGCAGCTTCGTTCTGCTGAAGAAAAACGTGAGGAAGCAGAAGCAAGAGCTAGGGAGCTTGAGAAACAGGTCTGTTACTCTTTTGTCTTTGGCTTCTAGGTCTTGTCTCCTACTTGTAACAACGTAAATGGTTTATCCTATTAAAATATGTAGCAACATCTGAGTTGTTTCATATAAAATGTTTGTAATTTATGAAGCATTATTGTTGACATGGGGCACTTAAGTAATTTAAACATGAGGACGCAAGATTTCCTAAATGAATATGGCTAATACTTCAGAAGTCTTTCATTTAAGTATGGCATATCTTGCAGCTTCCTGTGCTGCTTATTTCTTGAAGGGCTTAGCATTATATATTAAGTTAAATTAGTCGTATAGTTCATATTACATTTATACAAGTTAGTATCTCCATCTTTCAAGGTGTCTAGGCAACCACTAGGTGGGACATTGACATAAATTCCTTCCATAGCCATAGGCATATACTTGAATAAGCATGTTCCGTTACCCATGTTAAGCATTTCTTTAACTTGTGAACACCATGTTACCTGATTGAGATACAATTAACTTCAGCGTTTGAGTTATTAATTGCAAGAATTGCCTAAATGATTACATATCCATTGTTCAGTAGTTTACTGCATTCAGTTTGCTGCTTATTAAATTTTATATTAACAGGTTGCTTCCTTAGGAGAAGGTGTATCACTGGAAGCCAAATTATTAAGTAGGTAAGTGTGTCTCTTGTGCACTTGCAAGTTATGTTATTTGTTATCACTGTATGATTCGGTTTGGTTTTTTCTGTAGGAAGGAAGCAGCTTTGCGTCAAAGAGAGGTAAACAGAATATAGTATAATAGAGTCTAAAAATAGGTTGGACCTAGTTTAGCTTATGTCTTTCGTGTCAGGTTCATGAATTGAATATTATGTTAGTTGACCTATATTTCCTATTTATGTGTTTTCATGGAACAACAATTTCAGTTTCATCTTTCTGTTTCTCATAGCTCTTTCTCTCTTTATCACCTCCATCCCAGCTCTTCCTCTCTTTATCACCTCCATCCCAGCTCTTCACTGGGAACTGCTAATTTTAGTATTTTGTTACTTTATTTAATCTGTGAAACATTCTCACTGTAAACAAAAAATTGTGAATTTTTCTTCCTTGCAGGCTGCTCTTAAGGCTGCAAAACAGACGAAGGATGGTAGGGAGGAGGAAATTGCAGCCCTTCGTTCAGAACTTGAGGTAAAGTGTTCATCTGATGCTAGTGCGTTGGAGTCAACCGATTCAGAAAGTAATTCTATGACTTTCTTTTGATCAGAATTTGAAAGATGGGGATGCTACAGCTGTGGAACAACTTCGTGAAGCAGAATCTGAAGCAAAAGCTCTTCGCTCAATGACACAGAGAATGATTTTGACTCAGGAAGAAATGGTTTGTCTACTTATCTGTAAATCACTTCAATTGCTACATATATTGTAATGTATGCTAAATCTACTTTTGTAGGAGGAAGTTGTCCTGAAAAGATGTTGGCTTGCTCGTTACTGGGGATTGGCTGTTCAGCATGGTAATAAAATATCACCTTCTTCTCAAGCAAGGAAATAATCTACATCTTAATTGTACCAAATAACTTGCAATAAGAGTAAGAATTTGATCTCATAAATGTGATGTAGTGCACCTTCAACATGAAAATTTGACCTTCCCTAAGATTGATAAGTTCAAGAATCTCGTTGTATGTATGACTTGGTCAGTGAATAGTCATTTTTTAGAGATTTGTATTGTTATTGATATTTTTTGTAGGCTTTGAGTGCCAACTTTGCTTGTGTTCTTTTTGTGCTAAGATTTTGATGCTTTGTTGGTGGAATTTTAATTTTCACTCCTATAGGGTTGATTTATCATATTTTTTGTGGCCATTTTATTTTTTTTACCTGAAAGGATTTGTCTTCCTTGCAATTGTTACTGGATTTTGCAGGTATATGTGCAGATATAGCAGTGTCAAAGCATGAATATTGGTCGGCATTTGCTCCTCTTCCATTTGAAGTTGTTGTTTCTGCTGGACAAAAGGCTAAAGAGGAGGCCTGGGATAGAGGCAAGCTCAATTTCTGACCATCTCCCATTTACTCCCTCCCTCTTCCTTTATTTTTTATTATTAAATTTGAGGAAATGATACAGGCAGTGGTGATCCAGACAGGAGTAAACTTGCTCGGGATCTGAATGATCTGACTGGAGAAGGAAATATTGAGAGCATGCTTTCAGTTGAAATGGGCCTAAGGGAATTAGCATCTTTAAAGGTTGATTCTTCTATCTAAGGGAAATAATGTAGACGGTTGTATTGCGCTAAGTTGTAGTTTTAGTCTTTGTAATTTCATCATATTGTCCATATACAATTTGGGTCAGGGCTGAAATTTCAAATACAATGACTAAAATTGACCAAATTAGAGTGTAGAGACTATGTCCGCAACTTACACATAGTACAGGGTTTAATTATATAATTTAACCCAAGAAAATAGTTGTACTAATACTTCTTCCTCTCCATTATGCATTGACGTGAGTTGCATTTTATTATTACCTATTTATTTCACGTGCACTTTTGTGAAATACCAATTTGTGAATTTTTTATTCAAATTCTTGTTTTCAGGTTGAAGATGCTGTTATACAAGCATTAGGCAGACAGAGACGGCTGAGTTTGCTTCAGCGATCTGTCTCAGGTTTGATTTATCTGCATTACGTCCAAGTCACCCCCCTTCCGAATCAACCAAGTCGTATAACTTGATTTCTCATTACTTTTAAGTATGCCAATATTCTCATTTTTGTAAGGCAACCCTAGCTTTTATTCACTTTAGCTTCAAATTTATTTGATGTTCAGTAACATGGAGTGAAACTAGTGACTGTTTTATCTACCTTTCCGTCCTGAAGAAATAGTCCCCTGTTCTTTTTGGTTGCATCTGTTGGAAATCGTATTCTGACATGAATGAAATATTATGCTCTAGTATTTATCCTTGTATTTGATTTTCAGATTTGAAATCACAAGGTGACCCAAAGTGGATAGATGCATTTGGTAAGAGATGCACTCTTTTTTCTGTCATCACGCACTATCATATATAATTGCATGCGGTCGTTGATTTTATGAAACCTCCAGCCTCAATTAGTTCAAAAATATTCGCTGCTTTTATCCTTTTGATTTTATTTAAATAGGGTTTATTTTTTGCCTTTCAACTGCAGAATTAAGTGAAGAGCAGGGAGATGATGTTCTTTTCAAAGAGGTTAGTTACTTTTTTTAATTCAAATATTTTACATACTGATCAGTGATCATAACTGAGCCTTCAAAGCATGATGTCTTTTCGCATTCTCTGATTATTTTTTTAGCTATTTTGGTGACTTTGCCTTCTATTATACTGCTACATCATTGTTAATCTATCTACACCATATATTAAGTTCCGGACTAAGTTGTCACAAGTCAACTGGGTACTCGGTTAGGAAAAGACCAAAAAACTCCTTTTCCAAATGAGAACAAATATTATTTCTTTTTGTACTTTTACATGATCTTTAAATAAAACAAATAAAAACCACAAATCTGAGAATCGAACCTGTGTATGATAAAGATTAACATACAACTTCCCACACCCACCTATAACAATTAGTTAAGTAAACTTTCCCACAATGTGGTTATTACAAAATCTAGTATATATATGGATTATTCCTATCAAAAAAAAAAGTATATATATGGATTATTTTTCTATGCCACTAGTAGTGGAATAAAAAAGAGCTCTGTAATCAGGATTATAATCCTACCATGTATCATTTAATTATAACAAATGGCAGCATTAAAATTCCGCTCGTTGACTTTTTTTTCTACTCCCAGTACTTAGAATAATTACCCATAAAAACTGTCCATCAATCACTGCAATTGGTCTTGTCAACTTTTGGTAAAAAAGATTGCCATTTATTTGAGGATAACAGCTCGTTTTCAAACCCCACATTGAGTTTTAGTGTTTTGGGATCGTAGTAGGTTTGCACTACAGCTTCTCTTGAATGTAGAACACTTGGTTTATGTAAAAAATTCTTTGTTCATATAACACTTGTAATTCTTGTAGGCTTGGTTAACATATTTCTGGAGAAGAGCCAAAGTACATGGTATAGAAGAGGATATTGCCGAAGACCGGCTTCAATTTTGGGTCAGCCGTAGTGGGCAGACCCCTACCTCACACGATGCTGTGGATGGTAAGCCCACCTATTTTGGTTATGCTTTGTGGAACATTAACGTGTTAAAAACTATTATGTAAATGGGATAAAAGTCGACACGTGTTGTTTCAGTTGGTTGAGTACTCTTTAGCACTTAAACAGTGATATACGAAATGCTTTGGGATAAGAGTGCTGTTATTTTAAAAGAATCGAATGTGCCATTTCTAGTAAAAGTATCTGATTGTTTTGCACTAATCTGTGGCAGTTGATAGAGGTTTACTTGAGCTGCGGAAGTTGGGGATAGAACAGCTACTTTGGGAAGCATCTCGTAAAGAAATCGACCACCCATCTTCCGCTGCTTTGTCGAATCACAATGATTCAGAGAGCTCTTAGTGAGGTGTATTCCCTTCTCATTTCCAACAACCTTGTTAAGTTTGCACCAAATTTTTTAAGTTTGTATATTTATTGTTCAATTTCATATTATTTTGCATATTAATTTTGATCATAGCTTTGTCATAAACTTCACATGTTTGATATGTCGGGTTTGGTGTAATTTGTCGACACGAGACATGATGTAATAGATGCGTTGATGCTTGTTTGAGTTTTAAATGAAGAAGGTTAAAAGGTAAGATTTTTTTAGCATTAATTTTAAAATCAAAGATACTCCCCCTAGTTCACTTCCATTGTTGTTGGCTGCTACTTTAAATATTTATATTATTAATGTTCAACAGTTGTGAAAATTTCAAAGTCTCATAAATAATGATTAGTTTTGAACTTTACATTTTTATATAGTGTCCAATGGTTTTGTCCTTTCTAAGTAATAAAATAAGTTAAAAAAAAGTAGTAGAAGGTAATGAGATCACATTTGAAGAATGAGAAAGTGAACAGCCTTTCAAAATGCTTTAGTTGGGAATGATGAAACAGAAATTCTCAAAAAAAAGAAGAAAAAACCAGTCACATTTTTTTAGTATTCTAATTGTTAGAAATTTTGTTTGATTTGATTTAAAAAGTTTCTGATATAATTAGTTGATGAAATATCTTAAGAGAAAAAAATAAAATATGTGGTAATGGTGAAGGTTTTTAGATCAGATCATCATTTTATTTCGTGTTTATAAATGTATATTTATCGAGAGTTTTCTCTGATAATGCTTAAATTATAACTCTTATATAATATTTAATATAACAAAAAAAATCTTACTGATTTTTTTTTCTCATATTGTTTCTTTCCTTTCGACTGTATTTTCTTATTATAACATTAACAAATAAAGGGTCCTTCTAAAAGGTTAAAACATAATTTTAAGATTAATATTTTTTTTAAAATTAAATGTAAGACATCAAATTTAAACCTTTATGAATAAAAAATATTAAAAGACTTCACATGTTAAAATGAGATTTTGATTGGATTTCAAATTTAATTACAATGTTTATACTTATAAAACTTTGAAAAATGTGAGACCAATGAAAAATAATTATTTTAATATTTTTATTTCATATTTTGGATGAATAAACAACAATTTATAATAAAATAGATATAAACAATGCATGAATATTTGAAAAAGAGAAATCATTCTCTTCAGAACAAAAGCTGGGCTCAAGTTCTTTTTACAATGAACACCAAACATGAAACAAGAGATGGAAGTTGTCCTCTTGCTGTTTGTTTTTTTGGTTTGTTCAGACCCATTTCTCTCAATTTTCTTTTTTCTCTTTTATGTTTTCAGGAAACTAACCCCACTTCAAGCTGCAGAACCCTTTCTTTTCCCCTCTAAAGGTGGTCTAAATTTTATTTGAATCATTACGATATCTTCACATAATAATACACATCATTACTATCAATTACGATAAATATTCGTATCAAAGAATCAGAGACAGGCATATTGTAGGTAAGAGGTATAACAATCTTTCTCAATCTTGATGATTTAATTATATTTTGATTTATGTTAACAAGTTGTCTTATTTACTACCATCCTTATTTATTTAAGTGAAGAGTTTTTATCGGTAAGAAGATAATTGTTAACATGTGCTTGGAAGGAAAGAACCAACAACAACTGACGAGATAAATTTATTTTCATCAATAATTTATTTATAATTTTAAAATCATTGAAATTAAATATGGTCTCTCTTAAAATATTTATTTCATTATTTTTTAAAATCCTATCAAATATAAAATTAATAAAATTAAGTCTTGATTCTTAATGTCACACCTCCAATCTCAATTTTAAATTTATTAAATAAATTATTTAATTTTTAATGACTAAAGTGCAAGTTTTTGAAACTTTTTGGGCTAATTTCAAAAATCTAGAAAGTTCAGTGACTTAATCTTAAATTATCTCATTTTTTTTGGTTAGTTAAAAAAAATAGGGATTTGGTAGCTAAAGGGGCTTGAACCCGTAACTCATGGGTGCCCATGTCTCAGCCAGCTAGACTTTTGTTCATGTTTTTAATTAATAAAAATAAGTTTTATTATTATTTGGTTGGATTATAATCCATTTTTCCAAACCCTTTTCCCCTGCGTGAACTTGAACCCTTTGCCCAAAATCTCCGAATTCCTCCTCTAATCCCTAGCTCGTCACCCTTCCTCCGTCGATCCATCTTGCTCCGGCATGCATTGTAGGTCACCGCCACCTTCGATCGGCGTTGTAGGTTACTGATTTTACTAAATTAATAACTGTTTGAACTCCGATTTCATGCTATGATCGATTACTGTCTGAAGAATGTTTTTCTTCAGGGTACTCTGGGATCAGGTATGAAGTCTCTACAGATTCAGCTTCGGTCAAACTGGTAATTCCTTATATAGGTTTCGACCGATCGACATGGTAATTCATTATGGACCTAAAGCGACCCTTGGGTGGGCTCTTGGGTCCATTGGGCCCTATGGTAAGGCCTTATAGACCTAAGATACTCCTTTATGGTAACACCTCTGCTATGTGCAATGGGTAAGTCCTTATGGGCCTGAAGGCACATCTCTCAGGTGGGCACTTATGTTCGCCTAGGGTAAAATCTTATGGACCCAAGGTGCTCCCTTAGGTTGACTCATACGTCCTTTGGGCCTAGGGTGAGTCCTTATGGATGCAGTTATGAGAAATTGCATATGGTGTTCGGTTGGAGGGCGATTCTGTATTTTAAGTTAAAAACACTACTGACGTTTTCATAATTCGGAACTGAACTGGTTTTGGAAACTCTGTCGACGTTTATGTTTTTAATGACGAACCGATTTGAAATCTTAATTATATGTTTTATTTCTGTAATATTGGAACACACTGAGCTCCCTAGCTCACTCCCCCAAACTTTTATCTTTCAGATACTTTTGATAAGCGTCCCGAACCTGTCACTTGGAGGATCGACACATTCACACTGTTCCATTTTGTTGTAATGTATTTATCTTCTGAGCTTCTTTATTTTGGGTGACACGTGCCTATATTTTGAAAGTATTTGCTTTACGACTCATACTGTTTTTGTTACTGATGTTAGATTTGCTTCGATATTGATTTTGAAATATTTTATTTTACCCAGTTTTTACGACTTTAATTGACTGAATTTAAACTTTAATGTTATTAATCATATTTTTAAAGATGTTTAACTATAATATGGATTTCAAGTTATCGAGGAATGTTTTGGCAAAAAAATTTACTGAAATTCACTAGATCTGGTCATAACGTATAGGTCAGGTTTAAGGGGTTGCACTTAATTTTTTAAATTTATTTTTTTAAAATCTTTTAATTTTAAAACTAATAATTAAACCTTAATTTCTATAATTTAATTATCTTTTGCGATATTAGTTATTTTAAGTTTTGAATAGCTTAATCTCTTCCTAATTCAATCCTAACTCCACGCATGCATGTAACCCAAACAAAAAATCAACAATGTACATATATAAATACCTAGATACAAGTACAAAGCATATTGGATCATTTCAGATGCTTTTACTGTTGAGAGAAAAAGAGGGTCCTCCTTGGAAGTCATGATAAGCTGTTCTGAAGCTATAATGGGAAACATGTGGTGTGTATGGAGCACTGCTTGAGAAAAAGGTTTTAAAAAAATGAAAGAAAAAAGAAAGAGAGAAAAGAAAAGTAGTGTGTGTCCTCAATGCTCATTATTAAAAGAAACTCAAATCCATCATTCAGCATGTAAACATATAAAGAAATTGTGTTAAATTGTTCAAAAAAAGAAGGATTAAAATTTGCTTGCTGACTTGCTGTTTCCCACTAAACAAGATCCATGTCAGCTATAATGGTGGAATAACATGGTTAATACTGATGGAATTTCACAATCTGCAGAAAACCAGAAAGAACAAAATCTGGGTTTGTACTTTCGGATCAAGAAAAGTTGACCAATCCATCAATTCACTGAGAAAAAAAAACTACGGAATATTCACTGTTGGTATTGAACATGTGGAGAATATTAAGAACTGGGATTTGTTTTAACTAAACTTGATGATTAATGCCTATTTGCATATTGGACAGTTATCCTTCTAAAGCCACTTTCCAAAGAACATGCTCTCTGTTTTGTTTTCCCCCTAGTCAAAAGGGATATATACACAGAGTGTAATTTTAAGTATCTTTTTTGCTGGTTCAATTCTAGATAATAAAAAAAAATTACAGTAAAAAACAAAAGTAACATACTGAGAACTAAAGGCAGGCTCTCTGGTTGAGGTCCCAGATTCCATGCTCTTTTCTCTTTCTAACCTGTGTTATCATGTTGCTGACTCGGCCCTCCATCACCAGCACCAGCACTGCTGTTTCCAGCCATTGAGTCTCTCATACATCTCTTTCAACACCATTTACATGCCTTTCGAGCCCAAAAAAAAAAAAGAGTTTAAATTGTAATGATAATAAAAAAAGAAGTCTTAACTTATTTAGTACCCCTACCTCCTTCACCGACCAGCATTCTGAAAAACACTTTCTTGGGTTCATTTCTTCACTCTTGATTTGTTAGAAAAATGTGTTCTTTATCATGGAAAACCATGGCTATTGCTTTAGTGATATTGCTGGAGCTGTGTTTTGTCTTGGAGATTGAATCTTCTTTAGCTGATAAAATCGTTAGGCTTCCGGGACAACCCTCTAATCTGAGCTTCCAACAGTTCTCTGGGTATGTTACTGTGGATTTCAAGAAGCATAAAGCCCTGTTTTACTACTTTGTTGAAGCCGAAACAGATCCTGCTTCAAAGCCTTTAGTCCTTTGGTTGAATGGAGGTTTGCTTCTTCTTCTTCTTCTTTTCACTTCAAAGCATAAACCGAGTGGTGCAAAATTCTGGGTTTTTTATGCTTCTTGTCACTTTGTTTTTCCTACAGGGCCTGGTTGTTCTTCACTTGGAGTTGGGGCATTCTCTGAAAATGGACCTTTTAGACCAAACGGAGAGGTTCTAGTAAGAAATTATCACAGCTGGAACAGAGGTTTTTCACTCGTTAATCTCCCATTTTTTTATTGTTTGATTCCTAATGGTGATTAATCAACTGAAAATTTTTCATCATTGCAGAAGCTAATATGTTGTATTTAGAGACACCAATTGGAGTAGGGTTCTCTTATGCCACCAACAGCTCTTCTTATGTAGCAGTGGATGATGAGATGACTGGTATTTCACATTTCTTTGATTTTTCTTTCTGGATTTTCCAAGCATTAAAGATAGTTTCTTTCTCCTAAAGTTGATCTTTTGATCTTTAATTTTTTCAAGCCAGGGACAATCTTGTGTTCTTGCAGAACTGGTACAAGAAATTTCCAAATTACAGGCACAGGGCTTTATATATAACAGGGGAAAGCTATGCAGGTACTGTAAATTTGATGCAAATGAAGATTGAATCTAATATGAACTGCTAACTTACTGATCATATCAGGTCATTATATTCCTCAACTTGCAAAACTTATGGTTGAATTCAACAAGAAGCAGAATCTGTTCAATTTAAAAGGAATTGCTGTGAGTATATTACTATGTTCAATTCAAATTTGCATTGATAAATAAATAGTACTTGTAATGATCGGGATTTGGTATCTTCGATGTAAGCGAATGCGGGTTGATGACTGGATCTCGATCTCTCTGCAGTACTCGAATTCAAGTCATGTATATATTTTGTCTCTAAGGGAACGATTTTGTAATCGGCAGCTTGGTAATCCGGTTCTGGAATTCGCAACTGATTTCAATTCAAGGGCAGAATATTTCTGGTCCCATGGACTGATATCGGACTCGACCTACAAAATGTTCACCTCAGTCTGCAACTATTCCCGATATGTCAGCGAGTACTATAGGGACTCGGTTTCACCGTCTTGTTCGGAGGTGATGAGCCAAGTAAGCCGAGAAACCAGTAAATTCGTGGACAAATACGATGTCACACTTGATGTCTGCATAACATCAGTGCTCTCACAATCAATGGCTATAAATCCTCAGGTAAAACTCTTCCCTGCGAAACCAATTGCATTATATTGCATATGACTTCTTTTGCTTTACCTTACAGCAAGTATCCGAAAGGGTAGACATATGCGTCGAAGACAAAATCGTGAATTATCTAAACCGGAAAGATGTCCGGAAAGCTCTTCATGCTCGGCTCGTCAGGGTTCGAAGATGGACCGTCTGCAGCAAGTACTAATTCTTGATCGAGCTGAACATACATTGCAATATAAGAAAGTTTATATGCACGAATACGAATTGGACATAACCAACTGAACCGGATTTTCTTTGCTGTTGACAGCATACTGGATTATCAGCTGCTGAACCTGGAAATCCCTACATTATCCACCGTCGGTTCGCTAATCAAAGCCGGAATACCGGTCTTAGTTTACAGGTAACGAAAACGAAATCACAATGCTATGTATAGCCATAACAACATCATCATTCATTTAGGCTTTTCAGCTTACACGAATTTGATTAACCTTACAGTGGAGATCAAGATTCTGTTATCCCATTGACCGGAAGCCGCTCCCTGGTAAGTCGACTGGCTAAGGAGTTAGGACTCGAAACAACCGTGCCTTACAGAGTTTGGTTCGAAGGGAAGCAGGTACTTTCATCCATATCGCTTCGACTCTTTTTTTTTTTCTTTTCTAAGTCAAAGTATTCATATTCGAAACTCATGTTTGGATGATGTTCAGGTTGGTGGGTGGACTCAAGTTTATGGCAACATCCTGTCATTTGCAACAATCAGAGGAGCTTCACATGAAGCTCCATTCTCACAGCCTGAGAGATCACTTATGTTGTTTAAGTCATTCCTTGAAGGGAAGCCTCTCCCAGAAGTTTTCTGAATAAAAGAAAGTTCAGATCGAGGGAATCTGTTCTATCCAAATTTCCATAAAATTACTCCACAAATGTTTGGTTCGACTACAAATTTTGAAATTAAAAAAAAAATACACGGATTAAAATTATGAAATTAGAATATAAAAATTAAATTCGTAAATTAATATAAGGGTAAAGTATAGTAATGGTCACTGAACATTTTTGAAGCTTGCATTTAGGTCCCCCAACTTTTAAAACTTGCAATACAGTCCCCCAACATTTATTCCGTTTGCAATATGGTTCCCAACTTAAATCACGGTTAGAAAATTAGGGTAAATTATATAAACGGTCATTGAACTTTTCAGGCACTTGAATTTAGGTCCCCAACTTTTAAAACTTGCAAAACAGTCCCCCAATAATTTTATTTTCTTATTAAATATAGATGTATAGAAAATATAAATGATTCAATTTATATTTAAATGTATGAATCATTTATACTTTTGATATATTTTATTTTTCTTGTATAAACTAGTATTTAAAATATGTTTATATTTTAATCAAAATATTTCAATATACGAATAAAAATATATTTATATAAATGTATATTTATATTTAGATGTATAAATAAAAAATATATTCATATATTAATGTATGAATCATTTATATTTTTTGAATATTTATTTTTAATAAGAAATTAAAATTATTAATTATATTAGAAATACTCAACTTAAGATTATATATATAATCATGAATTATAAATATGAAAAATATAATTATTAAATTTAGTTTAAAAATATATAAATCTTAAATTTATTCTTTTAAAATATTGTATCAACTAATATTTAAAAATATATTAAATCTATCAAACAATTTATCAAATATAATATTTTTTATTGTAAAAAAATATAATATTTTCCCATCATTTATTGCTTTCAAATTTTTTTCCGAAGTTCAAATCTTATTATTTCCATTTTCCATTATATTCTTTTTTTTATGGCATTGGTCATACTATTAGTATATGTATTATTGTATATCTCTTAACGCAAACGATGGTGTTAGCTTATTGGCTCCACCCTGTATCTTTCATTTGCGTGACTCAGGTTTGAGTTTGCCCAAGACCCAAATTTTACTTCTTTGTAACTTAATTTTCTTCTAATTAGGTGGTGACATGTGTCACCAATAACATATATCATGATCATGTGTTAACACATGTCAGATCCTGGTTAAATGATTAATTTATTAAATTTTATTTAATTTAGGACCAAATTGATAGCATATATAAATAATTAGGTGGTGACATGTGTCACCAATGACACGTGTCATGATCATGTGCTAACACATGTCAGATCCTAATTAAATGATTAATTTATTAAATTCTATTTAATTTAGGACCAAATTGATTATATAAATAATAAAGACTGAATGTATAATAATGTCAATTCCTTTTAACTGCCACTTCATCATTTGTATCAATTGGTAACGACTAGTGGCTTAGTTGAAACAGTTAAATAATTATGTTGTATGATTGATAAATTTAAAAGATCGATGACAAAAGTAAAAAGGGCTAGATAGTTAAGTTGTCAACCTAGTAGTTTACACTTTTATTTATACGTCAAAATAACATTTTATAAATTTAAAATTCGAATTATTTTCAACCTCTTCTATATCCTAACTACTTTTTTTAATTAAAAAATTTCTTCAACAGATAAGAATTATACTATTATATTTTATATAAAAAATACGTATCACATGAAATAAGATGAAATTAAATAATAATAAATCTGACATAATTGAATTTAATTGAATTATTTTGGAATTTAGGGTTTAGAATGAAATTGAATTACTTTGGAAATTGGGGTTTAGAATGAAATTGAGGATTGTTTTGCAAGTTTTAAAAGTTGGGGGACCTAAATTCAAGTGTGAAAAGTTCAATAACCTTTTATATATAATTTACCCTAATTTCTAACGGTGGTTTAAGTTGGGGGACCATATTGCAAATGGAATAAATGTTGGGGGACTGTATTGCAAGTTTTAAAAGTTGGAGGACCTAAATGCAAGCTTCAGAAATGTTTAGTGACCATTACTATACTTTACCCTTAATATAATTACATAATTTGACCTCAAAATCAATAGTATTATTAATTTTATAGAATAAAAGTGACTGCCACTATAATTTATCTTATTCAAATAGGTTATTTTATAGTTTTTTTATATAAATTATTAATTTGATTTACGTAGAATAAAAAGGTGGAATTCATGATTAGAAGGCAAATAGAATAATAAATAATATAAAAATAGATGATTCATTTAAAAAAAAAAACATTTGTTGGAGCAAGTAGAGAGCGGTGTGAACTTCATTAAATGTCCAACTCAATCATTCTGGCAACTTGTTTTTATGTCAAAGATTTGGATAAAAGTAAACCCAATTTGAAGGGTAAATTCATTTTCCCTATGCTCACGGGTTCGGTCCAACAATATTAAAGGCACTCCATTCATTAACCATACCCAAAACCACCCTTACTGCAACTTATTTAAGATGTTCCCTCACTCTCCCTAAACTATATTAATATATTAAAAAAATAAATGAATTAATTATACCATACGTCCTTAAATTATGATTCTTAAGTTTTAAATATTTTAATTACATCTTTAAATTTATCACCCTCATTCTAAATTGATCCTCAAAACTTTATGTTTCAATTTCATCCCAAACCATGGCTATATACTAATTGCATGCCCAGATAATAAAACCATTAGGTCAAGCTATATTATTATATGTTTGAAAAAAATAAAATTTGGTTAAACTATGATTGAAACTAATTACATATTTAGATGAGTTCGGAGTGAAATTGAAATATTCAAAAGTTTGGAGATCAATTTAGAATGAGGATTATAATTTGTGAATGAAATTAGAATGTTTGAAAGTTCGAGGACCAATTTAAAATGATAATCACAATTATAATACAATTAACTCAAAAAATTTATCAAAATTTATAAAAGAAAATGAATATTTTAAAAACAATTATGAAATCAAGTAGAATTATTAAGTACATGGAACAGAGTCTGCCCCTCTCAATCTCATTTTTGTCTAATTATAATTTTAGTCCTTACTCTCCTCGGATCCTCTCTCTCACTTGCAAGCAGCCTTTATTACACGTAAATTTGATCCACTGTCTGATTTGTCTTTGGGTGATTTAGAGAAAAATTACCTGAAAAAGACTGGAAACAGAGGTGGGTGAATATGGAGGTGTCAAAATGATCCAGAAAAATGAAGGGTATCATGAGATCCTTGGGAGCCCCTTCCTTGCAAATTATTTATTTTCCGACGTTGACATAAAACATATTTGAAGAATAAAATATTACCATTTTCAAATAAATTTATTATCATTCAACATCTATTCAAATTAAAGTTTTAAAAAGTAGATTGTAAACCAAATTTTATTTGATTAAATTTTAAAATGTATATATATATAATACAATTCATTTGTTAAATAAATTTTAAGAGAAAAATTGTAGTGGACTCAGCTTAATCGGCGTTCGTGTGTGTATTTCAGAGAAAAATTGGAAATTTTACTTGTTTATGTAATATTATCAAATTTAATTACTAAAAATGTGTGTTTATAAAAAAGATTAATTTAATTTACAAGTAAATAAAACAAAAAGTATATATTATGAAATTGTGAAATCGTATGGTAACTGAAAAATGAAAATCGTGAGAGTTGGAAAACGGTCGTTAAAGGCTTAAAGCCTCTACTGTCTTCATCCACACTGACAAATGAGAAAGGTATCTCTTTTTTTTTCTTCTGATAATAAAGCTTTCATTTTATATTTATTGTTTAATTAATAAAAAAGGTCCTTCTAAGCATGTAAAGGAATTACTAATAATTATTAAAATATATATATAATCTACTTAATCCAATAAATATATAAAAATCAACATTTTTTTTTCTACTTGTAATTCAATCTAAAAGCACTTACCCTTTTCCTTCTGCAGATTTCATCTTCTCTTTCTCTCTATCTCGTTCCCTCCTTCAAAGCTGCTTTTTTATTTAAGTTCATAACCGCTCAAGCTCGACAGAACAAACTCAGCCTTTGCTTCTTCACTGTCCCAACAAAGATAATAAAAGGAAACCAAAAAAAAATCCAACTTTTTTTGTTTTGTTTATGCAGAACAACGAGTTATCCAAAAACCATGCTTTCAAGGGCGAGCAGTAGTGTCATTTGGACGGAAGATAAAGGAGATGAACACTCAGCTTCATGGACCAGAACCAGCACTAACAACAACAACAACAGTGTTGTAATGGAGAACAAAGAAGTGATGGGTTCTTTGTCTTCTTTCAAATCCATGTTAGAAGATGAATGGTACGTTCCGAATAACAGTATTTCAAGCCATCACCATGATATAAGAGACCTTTCATTTCCACCAAGTCTCGGTAACCATCAAAATAATACCTTGTTGCACTATCATCAGCAGCAGCATCCAGTGGATTCTTCCTCTTCTTGTTCGCCATCTTCCTCTGTTTTCAACAATTTCGACCCATCTCAGGTACAGTTCTTTCTGCAACCAAAACCAGCCTTGTCTTCACTCCTCAATGTCGTTTCCAATAACCCTTTAGACCACGGGTTTGATTTGGCTGAAATTGGGTTCCTTGACAACCAAGCAACAAATGCTAGTCCATTGTTGAACAGGGAAAATTCAGGGGTTTTGGGTGGTTTCACTGATTTAACATCTTGTAATCAGATAGATACTGCTAATTCGTGTCCCGAGACCCACTTCTCGGGTTCTGGGTTCGCTGGTTTTCAAGGATTTGTTGAGAATCCTGGGAATTCTCTGTTTCTAAATAGGTCTAAGTTGCTAAGACCGCTGGATAGCTTTCCTTCGGTCGGAGCACAGCAGACTCTGTTCCAGAAAAGGGCGGCTTTGAGGAAGAATTTGGCTGACAATGGAGGGAATTTCGGGGTTTTGGGTGGAGGAAAGATGAATGCTTCGAGTGGAACCGAGGGAGATAGAGGGAAGAAAGAAATGAATAA